GCATGCAAAGGTAAGGTTAAAAAAAAAGGTAAGTTTAAAAAAAAGGTAAAAATTTATGCCTGTCCATTCAGGCATAAATTTTGCTTGTTAACTAAGGTTCTTAAATGGATGCGATTGGAAGACATCATGTTATATAATTCAGGTTCAGAAAGACAAAGGCCACATGTTTTTTCTCATACCTGGGCAATAGATCCAAAAGATAAACATATACACAAAACATCATCATATATAAACTCATATGTAGCACATGTTTATAATAGTAGAACTACTCTATGGAACTCAGCAGAGGAGGAAAAGGAAAGAGAACCATACAGAGTCAACAATATCCATGCACATAACATCTGTGAAGGTAGAAGAAATAATGATATGTATTGAAAGCCATTGAATAATGGGGACTGGGAGGAAAAGAGTAAGAGAGAGTAATGGAAAGGTTGAACTGACCAAAGCAAAGTATATTCACAGTGGAGATACTCTGAGTAACCCTTTTGAACATTGACTTTGAATAAATAATGAAAAATAGGACTGTGAAATAAGTACAGTGGGGGGTGCAGTACTTGTGAAAAGGGGGAGGGTTAATGGAGGAGATGAAGGTGAGGGAATATGGTTGATAGGCTTCATATACTTATACAAAATAGAACAATGAAACCTCTTGCAATTGCTTTAAGTGGGGCAGGGAGGGGCTTAGAGGGGTTGGGGGAGAGATAGTGGGGGTGATCTAACCAATATACAATATAAGGTTATTTGGAATTGTCATAACGAATCCCTCCATATAGCGAATATATCCTAATAAAAATGGGAAAAAAATTAAGGACCGTAATTAAGCTAAGAAAATCCAACCACGTAGTGACTCAATAAATATTTATTGAGCTAGATGTAATGACAAATACCTAGTGTATAACTTATAGCAAGACAGATAAAATTCTTAAACTCATTAAGACTATGCTAAGGACAGTTTATATCCCCCCAAAATAAGGTTTCACTTATTGAAACCATAATCTTCAGTGTGATGGTATTGTAGGTGGGGTCTTGGGAGATAATTATGTCAAGAGGGTGGATTGCTCATGATGGGATTAGTGTCCTTGTAATAAGAGACAAAAGCTGGGTGTGGTCCTGCACACCTGTGATACCAGAACTCAGAAGGCAGAGGCAGGAAGATCATGAGTTCCAGACCAGCATGAGCTACATAAGGAGAACTGGTCTCAAAAATACAAAGAAACAGAAGATAGCATTCATATTCACTCTTTCTCTCTCTCTCTCTCCTTGCCTCCTCCCCACCCCTTTCCTTCCCTTCCTTTCTCTCTCTCTCCCTTCTCTCTTCTCCACTGCCTGCCTCTCTTCTCTCCCTGTCTCCCTCTCCCTCTCTCCCTCCTTTTCTCTTTCTTAACACCATGTGAAGAAATGGACCCTCACCAGAATTCAACCATACTCAAATCTGATCTTAGACTTCTAGCCTCCTAGAAGTATAAGAAACTGTAAGAAATAAATGTATATACTTTTATATACATTTATATACCACAATCTGTCAAGCATAGTATGACATCCTACTCCCTAATGAAAAAGGCAGACAATAAATAATATTATTCAAGATAGGCTAGGTAATTTTGCCATAACATATGACACCTCTCCCAAATTTTAGAGATATTAAACACAAACATGTTTTTCTCATTGATGATACATGTCTATACGGGTGGCAAGGGAACCCTCTTAACATAGTTAACCCAGAACACAGGCTGATGATTGCCACTGTATTGGAAAAGAGAATTGGGGAAACTCAGACTGGCAGTCAAATGTTTAAATGTTTTATTAAATGTTTTGTTCACAACTCATTTGACAGAACTAATGACAAGTCCCCACCCAAACACTAGGGGACCAGACATTCTTCATACTGAAGAATGAAGTATTAGCAAAAACTAGTGACCACAGCAGTCTGCCTCTCTGATGCTTAGTTACTGGATTTACCTTTCTTCCCATATGCAAAACATATGTATTCTGAGCCAAGGCAATTCTGAGCAACAAGTCCAGTGCTGGCAGTATCGCAGGACCCAACGTCAAACTATGCTACAGAGCCGTAACAACGAAAACGGCATGTATTGGCATCCTTCACCATGACCTCACAGGAGTTTTGCCCAATGTTTCACTTATGTGGATATGAATCACCATCCTTATAGTTTCTCTTATCATTTCCTTTTTTGTGTACCACCTGGCCCATAAGCCAATACAACTTATTTCCAATTTTGGTTCTATAAATATCGCCATCCTTGTAATAATTTCTGTTATTAGTCAAGATTGGCTCCATGTTGTTCCAGGAATAAACACCAACATCTCAGGGGCTTAAAACAAGAAAAATTTAATTCTCATTCATCCTACATATCCACTATGGGATAACTGAGGGAATCTCCTCACTTGGAACCTCAGACTGACTGTATCTACTATATCTTGGCTCTTGCTTGGTTGCTGTAGCAGAAGGAAAACATGAGCTTGGAAGAGTCTTTCATTAGCAAACCCGGAAGTGAGTCATATCACTTCTGCACATAACTACCAGGCCAAAATTAGTTACATGGCGTTATTCATCTACAAGGAAGTCAGGAATAGCAACTCTCTCATGTCCAGAATGGAAGATGAAAGGAAATATTTGTCGAACACCACAAAAATAGGTAACATTTACATTGAGATCTCAAAGGTCAGTAAGAGTGAGGAAGAATGAAAAGAACATGGCCAGGTGGGCAGAGTGGCTCCTGCTTATAATCCCAGTACTGGAGAGGTTGAAGCAGGAGGATTATGAGTTCAAGGCCAGCCTAGGATACATAATGAGATCCTGTCTCAAAAAACTAAGGGTTGGGGGATGTAGCTTAGTTTTACCTACCATGTACAAGGCCCTGGGTTTGATCCCTGGCACTGAAAAACAAATTAAAGGACATTCTAGATAGGAAACAACAAGCATAAAGGCTCTAGAGTAGAAAGTGTTAAGTTTTTCTGAAAGTGTCAGAACTGAAGAAAAATGGAGGGTGGGAGGGAACATCTTGGAAAATGAGATATCAGTCATTTTCCAAGGTCCTAACACAGAGAGCCCTGAAGGCCACAGAAAACAGGATTTTATCCTAAGTGCAACAGCAAGCCACTGGAAGGTCCTAGAACCAGAACCGCATATTTGATTTGTTATAAAAGGGCAACTCTCTATGTGGGGAATTACCTGGAAAAGGGTAAGAGTAAAAATGAGACCAGCTGGGAGGCTATCATAGTGTCAGACAGAAGATAGTAGCTTAGGAGGATGTGTGTATGGCCAGTTTTGAAGATTGCAAGAAGTAAACCAAATTTAAGATATATTCTGAAGGACTTACTAATGGATTGAGTAAGAAAAAAGTCAGGAATGGCAGGGAGCTGTTATGACTCCCATGTTTCTGATTCAGCAATAGGATGGTTAGTGATGCCATTTACAGAAATGGGTAAGTACAAGGATTCAACCAGGTTTAGAATCTACAGAAAACAAGATCTTACTTTGAACACACTAAGTTAAGAATGGATCACACAGAAGTAGGTTAGAGAGATAAATCAAGATCTAACACAGAGATTACACAAGTGGGAGTGTGAGAGGAGGACTCTGCGAACTGCCTAACAAATTCCTCCTTGAGATTTGCTTCCGGAAATGTATCACTGTTGGGTTTGTGGATTTGTATTTTTCCATTGCCAAGAAGTAAAATTAAGAGAATAAAAATGTGGGTTGCTGTTACTTTAGGATTTTCTTTTTATTTGAAACCTTTATCTAGTATTACTAAATAACAGCAAAAAATCATTATTATTCCTATTTTACACATGTGGAAAACTAAAGCAAGGAGGGGTTAAGTAACTTGCTCAAAATTAGTGAGGCTAGGTCCTAGATTTAAAAACTAAACAATCTGGCTCCAGAGCCTGTGTTTTCAACCCCTCTCTACCATGTGACAATAGTAAAGTAGCCTGGTTTATTTGTTTAGTGGGTCATAAATAACAGACCTTGTATTTATTTATATATAATAGTTCCAATAAGAGTTTTTATTGAATCACTCTATGTGCATATGTCTGGATTATTAGGTTGACGAGGTACAATTCACCTGCTAGATGTACCCTAAAGTAGTATGGCCAAACCCTACGAAGAACAGAACTAGCTTCATGAGAATAGTCCTGAAGCTTCAAGTCTTTTTTTTTCAAATTTTTAAACCACAAAAATTTTTAAATGCAACTTGTACCAGTGAGGTTTGTTCTATCTTTTGGCATGGAACTGAATTCCTAGTCCCGAGTGTCATGTGCTGGTCAGATGAGTTGAGTCTTTATTCCCATCACACACCAAAGTGTTTCCCCCCATAGAACATTATGCATAGTATTAACACACTAAATTCACACTGTTGTCTTAAGTGACAGAGGCAGGAATTGCTTCAGTCCGTCCTTCTTAATTCTTTTGGGTGGATAGCAGAGTCTGGAGCCCAAACAGCATTGCATAGTGAGGAAGGAAGGATGAGGGAATTCACCTCCCAGACCAGCAAATGACTTCCAAGAGTAGAAATTCAGTGGGATGGCACAAGGCAGAGCAAACCTGTCTTGGCACAATTTGCATTTTTAAATTTTGAGGGGATTTTTAATGTATGGAGGAAGGAAGGAAGGAAAGCTAAATCAAAACACCTCTGGACATTTTTAGGTAAGATGCCCTCCAAAATTTGTACGTTTTTCCTAATTATAGTGGTGTTGAAACGTCCTAATTCCATCTGAACTCTTAACTTTCGCTGGACTCTCCCTGGACTGGCCTAGCCAGCCTCTGCTGACCTTTCCCGGATCCCCTCCATTCAGGCTCGGGGCTTGGTCTACTGGCAAGAGCCTCGCACCTGCACCAAAGCTCCGCCCCCCGCCTGCCCACTGCGCATGCGCACAAGTGGCGCTCGCCGGGAGGGCTGTAGGGGCGGGGCCCGGAGCGCGGCGTTCTGCTGGGAGGAAGAGGAAGAGGAAGTCGGGGGAGGGCCCTAGCGGGGAGTGAACCGGAAGTGCAAGCGCTCCGGTTTCTCCTCGGCCAGGCGGAACGCTCTGCTGGGCCCTGTGGCCGCAAAAGAACTTTCTTTCTCCCGCCCCAACGGTCGCGGCGGCCAACTGCCTCGCCCGCCTGGCAGCCTCACCCCCCCTTGTCTTCTGTTCCTCTCCGGCATCGCGCGGCCCTGTCTCCCGCTCGCCCGGCGGTATCCGCTTGCTGCCTCAACCGCCTCCTCGTCTTCTGCCCGGCCAACCGGCCCGCCCCGCTGCAGTGATGTGCGACAAGGAATTCATGTGGGCCCTGAAAAACGGAGACTTGGACGAGGTGAAAGACTACGTGGCCAAGGTGAGCGGGGATGAGTGGAGTGCGCGGAGAAGGGGAGGTGGCGAGGCCGAGGGGGCTGATGAGGCTGGGGTGGGAGGGGTCGGCGGGAAAGACATCCTCGATGGAGGTGGCAGCGAGGACCAGGGGGAATCTGGGGAGCTTCCAAATGGGTGGAAGAGTTCTGTGCGGTTAACTGCTGTGTCGGTGCCTTCCTGACCCCCTGGGGGAGGGGAGGTGGAAACTGGCCTTGGGAGAGTCTCTGCCCCACACTGACCATTTGAATCCGGCCCTGTTCCACATCAGGGTTACTTAAATCCCTATCTTGGGCTTGCCGGTCACTGAGTCAAGTAGCCTAAGTAATTAGGTTCCGTGGACCGTTTTCTTTAAAGGAAATTATTGACCGTGGAAGAAAAACAAAGAGTACCCAAAATAGCAATAGTCAAGATTCTGAAACTTGATGTCACTTAACTTTGAAGTCTGAAGTCTGGGTGTGGCCTTGTTCCTCTCCCCCACCGCAACAAATACCTATTTGTTTCAAGTCTTTAGGAAATCTGAGTCGTTTTTCAACAAGCATGTTAACCATGGTTACTTCATCCTTCTCCTTGATTTCATCTGAAATGCTTACGTGTGGAATAAATAGTACTGCAGTTTAGTCACAGTATATTTTGCCCGGGGTGGGGGGAGGGTGAAATCATGATTAAGAAAGCCAAGCTGAAAGCTAAGTCCAAAGTGTAAGACCGAATCCACTTTGTGATGGAGTGATAAACTTAAGTTCTAAACTAATCTGTCTGAAACTGCGCCTTTGCTCATTATAAGAGAACTCAAAAAGATACTAATATGGTGATAATCTTTTAAAAAATTATCTTCCAAAACAAAAGTATACTTTATGATATAACTCTGAAGAGTATTTGTCTCAACTTCCAAAAGTTGGACCGAGTCTAGATTATTTGGTTTTTAGAGGATAGAACCTCTGGAGTGCTGCTTCACAGGCCTGTGGGAAGCAAGCAGGCAGAATCAAAGTTTCTTAAAACTTGAAGAATTATGCAAGGCATGCTGCTGAAAATTTTTCCTCTGTTTAATTTAGACTTTTCTCATGTTTTTGGTCTGCTTAGTTGTTATTTGCAATGGATTTTTAAGACAGGCTGCCTACTATTCACTGCCTTCTTAGCTAATGGCAGACCAAAACCTGAAGTATTGCCCATATCAGTGTAAGGCAAAAGGAAAAGAAATTACTTGGATCACTTAAGTCTATGATAACACTTACGGGTAGCGGACTCTGCAGTACTCTAAAAGTCTTTGGTTTTCCTGTAATGGTGGAACATAAGTTATTTGAAATACAAAAAAAAAAGTTGTTAAGCACTAAAAATTATGGCTACAAAGATAATATAATTAAAACTGTTTTCTCTATTTTGACTTAGGACCTCATGACCTTACCATTCACCCAAAGTAGAAATTGGGAGATTTTCCTAGATTTCTAAAGATTGTCAAGACTGCATTCTTAGTGTCTCTCTATTCTTAGCACTACTACTTTAGGATAGTTGCTGCTGCTTTCCAACCTGGACCATATTTTCCTTCACTGTAGTGTCGTCCTACCCCTCAAGTCAATTTACACATCTTAGCTAAAGATATAACCATATGATGTGAGTATAAATATGTTACTTTTTTTCAGCAAACCTCCTTCTCTACCCTTAAGATACCCTGTGATTCCTCATCACTTATTTTAAAAGGATCAACTCTTCCTTCCTTTGGTATATTAGGCCTTTATGATCTGGTCTAGGCCTGCCTTTTTTAATTTGCCTCTCTGGAAGCCCTCTGCTGCAGACTCTGCCATGCTCTTTCATGCAGTAGATCTGTCCATGTGCTCTTACATACTCCTTGACCAAATCAGCTTCCATCAATCCCTAACCTCCAAGCTGGTGAACTTATATTTGTCCTCTTAGCATAAATCTCTTCAAAAAAAATATTTTAACTTCATATGGAGCTCTTCTTCCTTTACTATTTCACTTACCAAATTCCTTCCATTTTGTTTACATATCTGTTTGTCATTAGATTACGAGCTTCTGGAGGGTAGATGCCGTATTCTTTTTCATCTTCATATCTCCAGTATAGTTCCGAAGAATTTCACCCACTAAAATCATGCATTCTTAGGGGGAAATTATTTTTAGCCTTATGATTTCAGAGAACTTCACTAGTTATGAAATAATAGTTACCATTGACTAGTTAATTTATGTTGCTAGGTAGTAGAAAGCACTCTGCAAGATGTTTTACCTAAGTTTTCATTTGCTTTTTACCATAGCATTTCAATATTCCCATTTAAAGGATGAAGAAGTTGAGGCTTAAAGGACTTAAATAATTTGACAAAGTGAGTAACCTTCACTGGGATTTAAACCCAGCACTATGTGAATCTAAAGCCTACACACACATATATTTTTTAACCATATCAGTCTAATTTAACATAATTATCTGGTTTCTTAGCTTGCCATGGCTTAGAATCAGCATATTAAGAAAAGAAAGGTGTGCTAGAGGCAGGTACAACAGATTATTTCTGACTATGAATGAAGACAGAAAAATAGCTATTTCTTTCCCCCACCCCCACCCCATTTTAAGTTTAACAGTTTGGAGATGATCAGTATAGAGACACATGTACCTGTTCGAGGTGTGTCTATAAAGAAACTGGTTGATAGCTTGTGAAAACTTTTTTATAGTCATAATTTTACCTTATAGTTTATGTTCATAATTGTGATACTGCATAATCCAACAAGTAACCTGTCTATTTACCTTAAGAAGAAACAAGTAAATTACTGAGATTTCTATTCAAAATGGTTTAAATTAAACACATAGCACATTAAAAAAAGAATGCATTCCTAAGATTATATGTATTTGAGCATTGTGATGAAGCAGACAACTATTCATTTTCTTGTGGGTATAATGAATATTAACTCCCACTTTAGAGATGAAGAACTGAGGCAAATATTAAATAACTTTCTGAAGGTTATAAAGTCTTTGAGTGATGAAGCTGAGATTTGAACTCAGTTTCATGAGTCCTGAAGGTTCTTTAGAATTCCTTGTTATTAACCACTTATCATACCATTGACCTTCATTTCTCAGCATTGCCAGAAGACTTGGGGGTTATGATATTATTGTGTATGTAAGTGTTAAAAATTAAAAATCAAGCAAGATGGTAATGATCCATTGAATCTACTTAGAGATGAGCTTGCTTGATAGCCTTTGAGGATGCAAGATTCTTTCAAGAGAATGCTTGTGAGTTGAATTGATAAGTAGCCCCTTATAATTGCCAGCAGGTCTGATATATGTACTCACTTGTTTACATGTACTTCTCTTTCACTTGCTGTGAAATACTACACATCACATCTCCAACTTCCCTTTCTTTGTGGTTTCCTTTCCCTCTCCAACCTCCATACTATTTACATCTGCCTTTGACACGCCATTAGGTTTGAAAAGCAACAGTTGTGCACCATAGGAGAGGAGAGGATCTCTTGAATCTGAGAAAAGTACCAACTCTGATCTTTAGAAATTGCAAGACTTACTGGGATCAGTTTTTCACTTTCCTAATAAAATAGCCAATTTAAAAGAAGTCCTGATTCACTTTTATCTTTATTGGTTTTAAGTAGTTTTCTTTTTATTTTTCTTCATTTTTTAAATTATCAGGTTTTTTTCTTATCATAAAAATTTATCACTTTGTATTGCTCTTTTGACAGCAGGGCCAGTGACCCAATAAGAAAGTTATTACCTTGTATAAGATATAGGTGCTCTCAGTAGATAAAGAAAACTTAGTATAGTATAGGTACTTTTCTATTAGGCTTTCAGTCTTTTTTTCTTTGAATATATAATAAAGGAAGATCTTTGTTACATCAGAACATGTTTTCTCAAATATGTTTTGCTTTTAAGATTTTAAACATTCCATTACCACAGTTAAAAGTTGAATGGTTAAAGCTGATTTAAACTATAAATATACATGGTTTTTATTTTAAAAGATAAACTGTTAAAGATGTGAAAAAAGGTGTTCCTAATCCCCCTAATTAGGTAGTTTCTTTAATATATAAAACTTGCTAGATCTTTTAAGACAAAATGATACAGAAGACAAAAATTCGTCCATAAACCTGTCTAGATAACTACTAACTTTAAGAAGTAAAATCAGATTAATTCAGGTAGAGATTAAAAAATGCAAGTACTGAAAGGTGGAAAACTCCCTGTGAACAAAGTTAGCACTTCTTAAGGGGCTCATGTAATTAATTTCAGAAAAACATTGGAAATTCACTTACTCATCCATTTCCCCCTCTTAAGAATTCTGTCAGTGCTTCTACACTTTGCTCTTTTTAAATTCTTTAATAATTTCTTAGACTTCACATTGAAATTATTTCCCCTTTGAAATAGTGAATTTACTATAGTTTATTTCACTAATTCTCTGTGGTAGATAGTGTTTCCAGTTTGTTTTTGTAGTACAGAAACAATATTAAACAATATTATAATGATCACCTTTGTACATGTATCTTAACAACTTTTGAGTATGTCTCTGTATTACACTCTTGATGAGATTCATGGATTTAGGCACACACTGGCAGGGCATGATGGTTCCCTTACACCATGAACAATAGTGGACACTATTTAGCTTTTTAGTTGCCAATTGCCATGGGGAAAAATGATATGTTGCTTCAGTTTGCATTTCTTTAATAAAAAGCTGTACCTCTTAGCAGAACTTTATTAGCCATTTGTATTCATTTTCTCAACTTTCCCATTTATTACCTTTTGTTCATTTTCTATTAGGTAGTTGCCCTATTTCTTGTAGATTTGTACAAACTATAAATAAAGGAAATAAGTTTTTTGGTCACGTGTTGCAAATATTGTTCTAGTTTGTCTCTTGGTTTCAGTTATTTTGTTTTCCACAATAGTCTTGTGACTTGGCTATTGTGCCACTTTTATTTTGAAGTAAGTCATAAAATAGGAATGTAGTTTATTAAATTATACACCATTATGCCTGGCATGGTAAGTGGCACTAATTG